AAAATTGAACTTTTTTCAACATTTCAAGTGGACTACATTCTAACTGGAACCTTTGTGAAACACTGGTCGGAGATACCATAATGCTCCTCAAGAGTGAAGTGCTTCCCTGTTGGGAGTACTGCACTCATTCCGTCTAGTCCCAGAGAAACCCTAGGTCTAGAGGCTGCCCTGTGGTATCCCATCTGTCACAGGAACACATGGTGATATCCGGCCATTAGTCACCACACACTGCTTTGCAGTCATGAAGAAAGTCTCTGATCCATGCTAGAATGCTCTCCCCCTTCCAGTTTAATTTTCAGCTTTTCAGGGTACTCTGTCAAAAGCCTTCACAAAGTCTAGATATATATTATAGATATTGCCACCATACACCAGGATCTGAGTCCACACATCCAGCACCTTAAGAAATTGCATCAAGTGTAAGCAACCAGGCATAAGGCCATGTTGGCATTCCCTTACAAGGTTGTTTTGTAGATGGTTCATCATGGCATCCCTTACAATGCTCTCTAGTACTTTACATACAATGCTGGTCAAGCTCACTGGCCTATAATTATTCATACAGTAGTGGTCTCCCTGTTTGAATATAGGACTCACAAAAGCCATTTTCCAGTTGCTGGGACCTTTTGCTCATCCATGCACCTGCTGAACAGGATCCTTAAGGGCTCAGTAAGCTTGTTGCACAACTTTCTCAACACTCTGGGACACACACAGTCAGGGACAGGGCTTTTAGTAATAATGTTTAGCATTGGCAATTTGTTTCTAATACTGTACCCTACCCTGAGAACTTAATGTACGTCAGCGCTGTCAAACCTTCTTTCCTCAAATGCATAAGGTACTACCATATTTTTTCAGGTTCGGTTAGTTAATTTTGGCCAGAAATTTAAATAGGCCTAAAGATTTATAAATTTGTTTTCTAACCTTACTGGGGAGGCGAGTATGACAGCAGCAGTTAAGTACTGTATAAGGTATTACTTTATGTTGTTGATACAGTATAGTAATTTACTCATTGGCTTATTCCTATGGAAGCGAGATGTAGTTGTCATTTCTCTCATGTGCCTCTTTGATGTTTATTTAGTAAATTAAGTTATGTTTACTTGATACTTAATTTCTGTTGGATTCTTTGCAATAAAATCAACACTGTACTAGACTTTGGTGAAATAAAATTTAAAACATCAGTAAAGCTGTGTAGACATTCAACATATTCACCTCTAATCTAATTACAGTAACCCTTTGTGCACTTCAATCTATTGCTCTTATTTTTTAGGAAACTCATCTCGGGCATCTCATTCACCCCAAGAGATTGTTTCCAAAATAGCCGAAGGATTCTTAAAGGGTTATTATTATGAAGATCACTATCGGTCTTATTTCCATCATGGTGGCTACAAAATTTATAATTTTCTTTTATCATTTCAAGACTTATCAGCTTAATGGTTATTAAGGTATAGGGTAGTTGGTCTGTTCATTATTACTTTGGCCAGTGTTAGTACAGCAGGGGCAGATCCAGGAATATCAAAAGGGGAGTCCAAGAAGTTTTTTTTTTTGGGGGGAGTGTTAGGTGGAGCACTGGAAGCCCTCCATGGCAAATATTTGAAATCTGACCAATATCATGGGCATTTTAAGGCCATGTGCACTAGACATTAGGAGATATTCTGAGGTCAATATTAATTACTTTTTTCTATACAAAAATGCCTGAGTACAATACTGTAACATCTTGGGCTGGCTGTCCTTTTTTCTGCATGCATCTTTGTATTTCAAGCATGGGATTGGGATATAGCTCTTATACCGTACAGTACAGTCAATACTACCCAACTGGAAGCCTATTACCTGCCAAAAATATGATGGAACGCCAGAAAAGGGTCAGGCAGTAAGAAATTTGCCGTGTGCAGTGTCCAGTCATTCACTTGGCTCCCACCAAATTGCCAAGTTCTGCCATTTGAACAAATCCTACTGAAAACTATGCCATCTCATCTTAGGCCAATTGTACATTCATTTTCCTTTCACAGGATGTAGTTCTTATTTTTCCTTATAATAATGATAAGTCTTCCTGGCTCAATTTGTATCTTAACACTATTATCAAGGGTAATGAAAATGTTGATAATCAATACTTCTACATATTTTTTAAGTACAAATACAACTCTGTATACAATAGATGCAAAAATACAGTTTCTGGTCCACTACTGTGTTTCTCAATCAATGCTGTGTGAACATAAGTCTTCAGAGAAAAATCAGTGGTAGACACAAGGTACCACAATCAACAGTGAGGCAAAATATTTAATATGTTTTTGGTACACACTGGGCTATTGAGAAGCACATTATATATGTATATATGTATGTATGTAAGTATACAGACACAGACATTTGTATGCATAAGTAAATATATACAGAGACACAGGCACACACACCTACTTTCATGCACAAAGAATACAAACTTACACACATACAGGAAGTTAACACATTGAATTCTAGAACACATCAGAAGAATACTAGTGATATGAAAGTAAAAAAAGTCTACAATTGCAGGTGTCTTTTGCCATTCCTCATCAGACAAGTAACTGATGCTTGAAAGGATTCACAGTAAGGTGATGGTCAAGCTCGTCAATAAGACCCACAGTAGGTGGAAACTTCCATGTCAGTACAATGAAGCTGAGGAGAACACCTGTGCATGAAGGACTGTTTCAGGTAATGGACTCGAGTTCTTGTTAAAGGATTTATTTTAATGGAAATTCACTAAACATTTTCTTTACATGTGTGTGAATAACAGTTAACTTTCCATCACCCACTCTTACACGACTCTTCTTCAGGAATATAACAGATGCTGTATCATGTTGTAATATTTAAATACAGTACAGAATTAAAATCCATGCTTCTGGTATCAAGATATAAATTTAATAATTACAATTTGGAGTGGTTATATAAATGAATATAAAATAATTTTCAACAGTCTAGTACAGTATACCCCCCGTTTAAAATATTCTATGCCAGGATTGTATTTTTGCCTACATGGGGAAATTGATAAAGATCCTAACACTCTGGACTACAGTACTTCATACACAGTAACTGCTTGGACCACTTCTTGTGGGATACATATCCAGATTAATTATTTGTATTCAACTGCATTGATCTTTATACTTTTCGTTTCTCTCAGGCCCGTCACCACATGTTCTGAGACTCTCGGTGGATGTGTACAAATTGATTTCTCTATACGACCCTTTTATTTTTACACTTTTTTTTTTAATCTTATTTTGTAAATTTTTTTTCTGAACTGTATTTGTTTTATATTTATTTTTGTTTCTTTACTGTACTGTACTGTACTTACTTTCTATAAATGATAAAAACCTATGTTTTGTCTTCAATTCATGATTTTGAGAACAAATACAGTATTGAGCTTTCCTATACAGTAATGTACAGTATATCTATTAGAAGCAATATTTAGATAAATGTTGCAGGATTTTTTGATGAACAATGGTAGTACAGTACAGTGTTACCTCAATCACGGGTATAATGTTTTCTGTGGCCAGAAGTCTTAGCATTTTGTACAGCTCACTGTAGGTGGCTGACAACCGGTAGTCCAGAGTGCTAATACCAGAAGGGATACCCTACACAGATATGCAATTAAAAATTGTAGTACAGGTTGTACCTCTCTAGTCCGGCAACCTCGGGACCTGACCGGTGCCGGACCATGGAAATTCACCCTTTTCCTGGATAGACAGTGACTTGTGCTTATGCTTGGAAGCACTAGCACCACTTTCTCTGCATCATGGTCTCTTTTAAGACATATTGAAGGGTTAAATGTCGTATAGTAGCTTCTCAAATTTCGCGAGTTTTTAATTCAACGTATTTTATTGGAACACACACACCAAAAAAAAATAAATAAAAATTTTGACGGCGGAAACTTGAATTTCGACGGGTTTGAACGGCCCGCCAACGTGCAGACGACGTGCATAATCGTGTAAACAGCGTCATTTCTCTTATGTACAAAAGATTCATTATTGTTTATTACTGAATGTCTTTTTTACTGAATTAATGTTTATGTGTGCAAAATGAGCAATACAATTCATTAATAATACGTAGAATATCAAAACACACGAGGAAATGACACAGCATTGTTTTCGTTGAATACAAAACCAGTGACTGACTGGTTCTACATATAAAACTGAAGAAAATAAGACTTTGGTTGTAGCTGTAGTAACATTAATATGGTTGTTTTAAGTAATGTTATTTAATGTTAATAAATGGAACAATAGAAGTAGCTAACAATAATGGTAAAGAAAAAAGAAAGAACGCGTATGTAAGTGCGCACACGTGAAACATATCGTCATTACTTTACATAAGAATATGAAAGCTACACTTATTTACTGTTCATATATATTTTAATTAATGTTTCTGAATTTGTTTTTATTGAATTAATGTTTGTGTGCAAAATAAACAATACAATTTATTAATAATACATGGAATATAAAACACACGAGAAGACGAGACGGCTGCCGGCATTGTTTATGTTAAAGCTTACAAAACCAGTGACTGATTGGTTCTACATATAAAACTGAAGAAAATAAGACCCTGATTGTAGCTGTAGTAAAATTAATGTAAAAAAATAATATGGTTGTTTGAAGTACCTGTAATGTTATTTAATGTTAATAAATGGAACAATATAAGTAGCTAACCATTAATGGTAAAAAAAAGTGAGTGCGCATATGTAAGTGCACACATGTGAAAACATGTCGTCATTACTCTACATAAGAATATGAAAGCAACACTTATTTCCTGCTCATATATATTGAAGGGTTAAATGTTGTACTCTGTATAGACAAGCAGAGAGAGAGAGCGAGCAGCCGAACTGCCGGATGTAAACAAACCTTAATTTCCCGCGGCTTTGTTGTTGTTTTTTTTTACGGGGATTAGCCCACCCGGGCATAGGTCACTGACCCACATTGGGGCCTGAGGGGCAAAAATTTAATACTCTTGTAATAATAATAATAATTCAGATAAGTAAAAAAAAAAAAAAAAGTTGCCTATCTACCTATTGGACAAACTAAAATCGTTCCGGACCACGGGTGTTTCCGGACCACAGAATGCCGGACTAGAGAGGTACAACCTGTACAAGTACTAAAAATAATTATTCCTGTTTCACAGAATAGATTAGAAGAGAAGCAACATACTGTACTGTATTCCATAAAACTGACTGGCATAAGAAGTACACTATTGAAAAATCAGCTTTCCTTCAGAAATATAAATTCTAAGACATGATACTGACCACTTAAAGTTTTGGTTCTTTTACCTGACAGTTCCTAATCCAACAATACAGTGTCCTTACCTATTTGTTCAGTTCTATATATCTGTGCTTGTATGTGGCCTGCAGCCTCACTCTCCTGGTTACTTAGTCCCTTATGCACAGGTCCCCCTCTGAGCTGAATAAAGTGTTCTGGCGTTGGCCAAATAAAATATTAAAATTGGCGTCACCACAGTGAAGGGGGTAACGAATGTAGTTGGGGTAAGCAAATATGAAAACTGTACAGAAATAAAGTTTCCATCTAACATTGTGAGTTTTAACTCCTAGCATCTCATAGTTTACAGAATACTTATCAATTATCAGTTTCACTGAAGAATAAACAAAACATTAAGTTATTTGTGAAATCAAAGAATAGTTATGGGCATTGTTTAATATATTTTTGTTTTAAATTGATATAGATAAACAGTGTTGAGTATTCATTGAAAAAACACAATTGTATAAATGAGTGATGTTTAGAAATTGTAAAAGTAGCTGAAGTAAATTAAATTGTATGCAATTATTAGAGCCACTAAATTAATGGTATAGTGTATTCATTATAATAAAGAATTAACATGTACCCATTATTGAAAAAGATTCAAAATTTGAACTGAACAAACACAATTAAGTTACCTGGGTCATGGATACACAGCAATATACACAAGTCTGTAGTGTTCCGTTTCTTCTTCATCCACAATTGTATTTTCGAAGAACATTAATATTTTCTCCTGTATTGAAGTAGAAGTTTATCTTTCCAGAGGGTGAAGAGTTTATATACTATATAGTCTCTGATGAGGCTTAAGATAAAACTAACCTAAAATATAACATGTCTTCACTGATACATTTACACAAGAATATCCTGACTTCCAATGTACAAAATAAGCACAATGTACAAATATATACAGTATACAAGTATCTACAGCGACATAAGCATATAACATAATTTTTCTCACAATTCTGAATTATGAGCAGAGTATTATTTTTAAAAGGCTACTACGACGCTTGCAATGCTCCACTGCAGCAATGTGACTGGAAACCTGCATTTTGTTAAGGTGTAAAAGTGACATTAACACCTCACACAGGACAAATAGTGCACCATTAATAAAATATCATGACCAGTGTTTACAGGGCTTGGATTATAATATGCTATGCTACAATATTGGAGCCACATGAATTAAATAAGTTTCATCAGTCTAGTATGGAAAATACAAACAACACATACTCACTAATATACTTAGTAAAGGTATTAAAAAATATTAGGCATTTCCCCCTTGAGTAGAACATACTATGTCAGTACATTTCAGAAGGCCTCGGTTGTTATCCAAAAATGTTGACTTTTGTTTTTCATCCACTGATACAAAGGCAAAACAAGGTAGTGAACACATGGTAGCTAGTAGTTCATCAAAAAGGACTACTGTTCAGAGTAAACCTAACATGACATACTCTGGTATACTCAGATATGTTATAGGAAGGTTAATTCCTATCTCACACACAACATTATCAAAAAATCACAAAGGCCAAAGTGATCACTGATTTCCTGTTTTGTACAATTCCTCCGATAATTTGCCTGAGACTACGATACTGTTGTCGGGTGATAAGTCAAATGGGACCCAGTCATATTAAATCCTAACCTAACCTCACCAATCATTACACTTGGAGTCCAGTTGTAAAAGGCTTAAAATCCTAACGGTTACGTTAGGTTGGGGCCCAATAGAATGGAGGCCCATTTCACTAACAACCTGTTTATAATAACCACTGAGAAACTATGGAAACAACACATTAATTTGTCTAATGCAATGTTCTTACAAACAAGAAAGGAAAAAATATTTTGCAAGGTTTTAAAGAACATATGCAGGAAAAGTATCACCATCTTTCACAAATTACAGCCAACTAAATAAAAAAAGAAGAGCATCACGCAACACAAATGTATCACAGTAGTAATGGCTTAAAATTAAATTATGAATCACTGGAATTATAATACAAAGAACAAATTATGGCAACATTCCCACTGAAACTTCGTATTACTGTATAGAGAAAATTATAAACCATATACAATAAAAGTTATGAAACGAAGTAGTAGCTCGACAACAACCAAAATATATAACATGAAAATAATGGAGATTAAAGAAACTCAGGAATGGTTGAGGATAAACAAAAGTGGACTTGATCACAAAATGTAAATAAAATACTTCTGCAAACAGTAATGGAATGGCAGTTTAACATTCCTTTGTTGTCTAGAAATATGTTCATGTGATACAAGAGGCCCTATGCCATACAAGTGAATTATGTGTGCATCAGCAATAACCATCTTGCTCTTAAGGCATTGAGACTATGGCTGGGCTAATTTATGTATCATCTTGTAGCAGAGGAGAAATAAAGGTAACTTTTTCAACTAACCAACTCTTGTAGCTGCAGCATCAATTTATAACCCAGAGAATTATATACATATACATATACAGCTACTGTATCACAAAACACAGAAAACATTTTCTTTAGTACTGAAGAAAGTAATAATTGTTAGAGTATAATGTATTGTAAATAAACACTTTTCTCCAGACAATTCAGTTATAAGGCTTTGAGTTTAAAGCTCTTGTGTATTGATTCATGTTTGACACTAATTCATTAACATGTATAATTCTAATGCAGGAAAAGTCACTTTGTAAAAAGTTTAGGTAGCATAAGACTCATTACAGTATAGGCATAAGACCATAAGGTCTCATTGGTCGACACACAAAGACTGTACTGTACTACAATGGCAGACATATTTTTTCTCCTAAAGAAAGTTCTTTGGCTCACTTGCCTAACTCAGCAGCTGATGATCTAGTTCTTCTCATATATTAAACTACAATATAAATGATCTTTACATACTGTATTACAAAAGAATACTTACATTAATCTGGGGAAGTAGATGCAATCAGATGGAAATTGCTCGAGTGATGGGGATTTTGCCGTAAAAACAATGCAAAGTACTGTAGATATCTTGCATGCAGGTATATTTTCTGTTTTTCATTCTTGCATGCCCTCCCCTTCTATATTGCTGGATGGGAGGGACAAAAACAAATATGACTCTCCATTTGCTATCATCTATTCATACTGCTGTAACATCCCCATCAACCACTCGAGGACAGGCTCATGTACACTACTGCTTTTGAAGCTTTATCCGGGTCCTGTACTTTACTTCTAGCCTTGTACAATATTTAAATCTAAGGAAAGCTTTCTTATGCTCTACAATGAGATCACATTTTCTGGTTGGTTATGAATATTAGATAATTCTCACTAAAATTGGAAAATGATAATAGCCTAAACACCACTTAACTCTCATGTGATTTTCAATATGTTGTTAAGTAAATATTTTAATACAACAACAACACTGATGCAGCAATTAATTATGTACACCATATATAATATTTCCATTCATTAGATTATAGTAATGCAATAGTACAGCAAAACAACAATATGAAATGAATGAATACCAGTTAAGTTTATTCAGAATCACTTGTAGTTCTGTACTCACTGATTACCAATTTGAATGGGTTCACCGTTTGCACGCCGGGTAAGGAAAAAGTGGAGAATACCCGCTTGGGCCATGACATCAACAGTCCCTGCAGCCAATTTTTCTGCTGGTGATGGGTTGCCAGGTTTAGCTCCGGGCCTTAGGAGAGTCGGACCGAATACTGTTGCCAGATTGTGCAGTGACATCTTGTTTAGGTGCTCCATTTCATGAATTCTGTAAGTCAAAATAACAGTTACAAGAGAGAGAAGAAAAAAGTATTGTACTGTAAATGGTTTTTCTTAATGTTGGTGAAGAAATGAATGTTTAGTTCTATCTACAGTATCTACATGTCTAAAAATGTCTATAACTCAAAGAAATATTTACCTGAAACCCTGTAAACATCTATTCAATAATTAGTCTATAATCATAGAAGGCATCAACCACTGGTGAAAATGAAAAAAAAATATGTATAAATTTTGATGATAAAAGCATTCCAGGTTTTATACAAATTGACTACCATCTCTGCACCAAGTTTGGCAAAAATCAGATGAAAAATAAAGGAATTGTAAATGTTAAAATGCAAATACAAAATATAAATGAGGCATTTAATTTACAAAAAGTAAAGACACCAAAAGCATTACTTTTCTTGTGCTGGTTGATGGTCATTTATTCTGAAGTTTTAAAGTGGTAGTTTTTATGTACAGATCCTCCAGCTGAACATCTCTAAACAAAATAATACCAATTGTAATTCATCTATAAGAAATACCAGTAATCAGCAGTTTACATTTGCACTCAACAAAAATTACTGGGTGTTATTTGCTACTGTGTGACAAAATCTAGTTACTTTATCACAAACCAAGGCCCAAAAAGCAGTTGACCCCTTTCACATGAAGCATGTCAGGCAACTGTGTATACACAGTTATAAGCATACTTACGTGTGTATTAAAGCTATTGTAAAAGTGTTCAACACATACAAGAATTAAACAAAATATAAATATTTCTCATATTCTACCTACAAGCAATCAATATTCATCCTGTACAATGAGCATATTATTGAAAAATAGGACTGTAAGTCAAGAATACAGGAAAAGAATTCTGCTGCTTACTTGACTAAATGTTCCAAGAGGTAAGCTATGATAGACTGATTTAATTGAGGCAGCGACGAGAAAAGTTTGAGCAATGTGGTCTTCTTGTATTCCAAGTCTGTGGCACTATACGCCTCAAAAAATCGTGGGTAAAGTTCACTGGTGTAGAGTGCTTCAGGAAGCTCCCGGAGGAACAGCTTGAGCAGGCCTGTTACAGAGTGGATGTCCACTTCTTTCACGAGTTGCTCTGCTTCATAAGGATCTGAAAAATAGTGTATTTATAGGATTAAAAAGATTATATACTTACAACAAAGTAGGTTAATACAGTACAGTTAATGAAAACTTAATTTTGTCATCTATTGCACCCAAGAAATAAACTTACTTGCTTCAAAAGATTTCTTGAGTTTTGTTATATCAGATGCCAAGCCAGAGACTCGGTAAATTCCCACCTCCTGCATGCCACGTCTCTCAACCTCTCTAACACAACGAGTTACGATAAATGGAACGCTTCGCTTCTCTCGTCTGTAAGAGGATAAAGTGTATGTATTGTACAGTACAGTATACAAAATTTTCCAACAACAGTTTCTAAGTACAATAAGCCCTTTCCATATACAGCACAGGGGATCCCCAACTTACGAACACCTGCCGATATGAACGGGGTTAAACTTTAAATTTACAGTACCGGTATTTTATTTACCCGGTGACTCATTTTTTACTTTCATTTACTGTATTTTGTCTTTCTATCTCTTTTCTCTTAAATTAAGTGATTTTAGATGTATATTAGGACTTAAGCTATGATATAGTGGGATTTTAAACATTGATCTGTAAGTACGGCAAGCACATAGAATGTGTTTCGACTTACGTACATTTTCCACTTAAAAACGTCCTTAGGAACGGAACCCTTTCGTAACCCGGGGACTCCCCGTATAAAATTTTACTGCCACTTCATGCCACTTTTTGTTCTAGAAAATTTTCCCGAAAGAAATATAATAAAGCTTCACCATCTGAGGGAGTTACACTGTGGACGGTGAAGTGAAGGACCTAAACTAAAAGAGGGTTTAAGATCCTAGCTGACAAGTTAACTCCCTAACCTTCCTATAAATTACTCTGCACTCAACAAAAACTGAATAAATGTGATACATACATGTATACCGAACCTAACCTAATGCAAACCACTCACACTTTGATAAAGAGAACATTGTTAGTACTGTACCTGTCAATTAGGAAACAAGAGGTGTGGAGTACAGTATTTTCTTTATTTCTTTACAACTTTTCAGCCAGTATCTACACTTGTCTTCCACCTCCTTTAATATTTCCCCTCTTCCTATTGAGGTTTCTGTACCCCATGAACCTTACCATATGAAAGTGGAAGATGACTACAGTAAAGGCAAGACACAGATACACACAAACTTATTTAGCTTAACCCATTCACCTCAGACTTTAATAAACAAAACACGGGAAGTAAATTAAAAACATTACCTTTCTACAGATGATTAACAGAATTTATTACCATCTTACCTGCAAGTATGAGCAATGTTGGCACCAAATAGCCCTGAGGACTTGCCAGTGGGCACCCTTCTTAAGGTTGCCTCAGGTGGCAGGAACTTGAGGGACAGAACTAACACCAGGTCCTGGAGGCTGACACGTCGCTCGGTTAAAGTACTGTTCAACCAAGATCGTGATAGCTGTAAGGAAAGAAAAATTGTAGTCATAAATCACAACATCCATATATCTTTACTAAAGCTGTAACAATACAAGTATTGATTGTTTCCTAATTAAAAATAAATCTTAAAATAGAAGGCAACAGGGAACTTAAACAGAGGAAAAACTGTGTGTACTACATTGAAAAATAACATAAATTGTGATGGTAGACATGAAGGGAAAGTTAAATATGATAGAGTCAAGTCAGAAGAGCATTTCATAATCTTAAAGAGATCTGTTGAAAAGAGATACATACTTATCTTAGAGTATAAAAAAAAAGGCTGCTGGAATGCAATGTATGATCAATATCATTTATGGGTCACAAGCATGGATATCCAACAGGGGAACCCGGAGAATAAATGCTTCTAAAGTGTGGTGCTACAGAAGAAGTATTAAATATATAAATAAGATTGACTGGAACACTGACAGAAGTACTGAAAATTTATAGAACAAGTAAAATTATTCTTTAAACATAGGGGCAGAAACAGGAATGGATGAAAGAAATTAAAAGGCAGGTCCCCCAGAGTTACAAAATATGGGAGAATTGGTTATTGTATTGTAGTCTAAAATCTTTTGGGAGTGGTCAATACTTGCTGTCAAACCACAGACCTGATGAAGACCACTTCACTAACTATAACATAAACATCCACACAACAATGTCATCTATGATATGTCTGTTGTTCCTAAGCTTGATTAAGTAACCTGACTATATTCCTTGTGGCAGTAGACTATCAAATAAAAATCACAAACCTCCAAATGAGTTTTGCCCCTCAGCTGTGTTCCCAGCTTTGGATGGTCCTCATAGCACAGAATACGGAGAGTCTGTGAACCCTCTAACTCGATGATGAAATCTTGGTTCCAGTGAGGTTCCACTGCTTCAGTGACCTTTGTTTTAGCCTTGCGGAAGAAGTGCCCGTACGAGTCTACTTCGAAGCACACATACATGTCTGTGGATACAAACCATTGTTAACAGGTAAAATTAAAGAGAATAATAAAAATGACAGCTACAGTAGATGTGTTAACATACTACTACACACATGTACTGTACAGCTATGACCAATTACTGACAATTTACACAGCTGTATATACTGAACAGTAAATTCCTCAAATTATGTACAGTAGATGGAGACCAGCTAAATTTCATTTGATGGACTGTTCAGGTACAGTAACTGATATTCTATCAAATGTATTGAACATACCAATAGTTATCCAGATACCAACTTATACACATACAGTCTCTCCTCGCCTTACGACGGGGTTCCGAACCGACGACCAGGTCGTAAGTCGAAAAGGCGAAAATAATACATAGAAAATCTAAAATGGGTGTCTCTTTTTCTTCTCAGCACCACGAGAACTCTCACTTTCACGCTTGCCAGCCATTTTAAAGGGAATTACAAACGAAAATTTTGTCAGTACACAGCGAGAACACTAACGTCAGGGACTCGAAAATACGTAATTTGAAAAATATTTTATACGGCTGAGGCGGTCGTATGTCTGGGTGGTCGTAAGTCGAGTAGGTCGTAAGTCGAGGAGTACCTGTATAAAGTTTTTACTGTATATACAGTCCCTGTCTTGGGACCAAATCTTATTCTGTAGAAACATGGCTACAGTTAGATAATGGTTGTTAATGGTTAGACAGGTTTCTTTACATGTAATTTTGAGATATGTGCAACTATTCAGAGATGGATCTATTTCTTAAAAAGCAGGAAGCTCGTACACCAAAACCACCATGAATCAGTATTTTGCCAAAAATCTGGAACATCCTTGAGCCACATAAATTCAGACTGAAGGGACTTTAGTGTACTGTATCTGTACGACCATATAATGTATCTCATAACACTTACTTGCTGGACTAGTGAGGCCATGTAGACTAGATACCACGATGTGAAGATCACCAAGCAACAGTGAATCATCTCGACCAGATTTGAGCAAGAATGACCCCATATTGGTCTTCAAGAAGGATCGACAAGCTGTGATCCATCCCTGCAGCTCCTGAAGGGTGAGGGAGCTTCCTCCGACACCAGGGGTGTTGTTCTGAAATAGATTAATATGAAATAATCTGTTGTATACAAATAAGCAATGTCTGTCGAAGTCTTCCATAAACAGTATAAGAACAATAAAAAAAAGGTGTAATATTATCCACATCAAATAAATATTTTTCACATGAATAAAACATCAAAATTACAGTATTTATATAAAGTACATAAGGTCATTTCAAGTTTATAAGATATATCTGGATCATCTACACATATATATACAGGTACCATTTGTTGTGAAACTGCATGAGATATCTTCCTTGAGTCAGAAACTAGGAAATATGTAAGCTACAATATATCTCCTCCTTTAATATGTAAAACCAAACTGTTACCATCAACCAAAAAGGTATTAGAATAATGCATGCCGGTTACCTGCATCTAAGTGGGTCAAGATTATAAAACAGGGTAACTTGTCAAAACAGTTAAAAAAATTAATACTAAAGTTTCAAGCAGATCAGTTACTTTCACGAGGTAAACAATCAACAATATCCTAACCAGTGTACACATTACTGACTACCCTCAGCAACATGTGAACCTGAGGTGATAAGAACCCAACATGCAGGACAACACTGTGGTCATAAATTACACCAGTAATTCTCACAAAACAAGAAGTAAACAGTGAGCGAGAAGAGTGGGGGCGTATGGCACGAGGTACGAGGGGGAGAAATGACTCAATGTGAACCGTTCCACCCTCCAATAAATGAGGATTTAGTAGAACGCAGCACAACTTGCAGTATGATGATGAACCTAAAACCTGTAAATGGGAACTTAGGATATAAAACATGAAATATTAACCAATCAAATGTGTCTAAATCTCTCAGGTAACTTCCCAAATTTATACGCACACGAGAAATATGTCACGACTCGAGTTAAAATTTTTTGAGACGGCTCCACCCACTCCAGCTGTGTGAGGAGCAGCCATTACACATTGGTCATTAAAACACTTCAGACTGAGTTTGTGAATGTATGGGTTATTATGGTAGATAATTACAACCTAATTTCTTCTGCGCTTACCTGTAGAACTTGAATGGCTTCACCCCACTGATCTCGCTCATATTCTGATGAGATAAGGAATGTGTGGACTGAGCCGGCTCTCTTGGATATTCTGAAGGGTAGGTTGGGTGATGCTAGTACCAGCTGAGCTTCCAGTTCTGCTAACTTCTTCCTCTGTTTCTCATTCCGCGCAATGTTCATGCGGCCAGCCTGCAGAAACACGGGAACGCTAAATGGTAGATACACGACAATATTTTCAACAGATGATAATTTACTTTGTTCAAAATTCTATTAACAGATACATAACTAAAGTACAGTACACCTATTACTAACAAATAATACTTAATTGGCTTTTCATTGTATATGTTAAATCTTCATATCGACACAGGTCTAAATCACTAAATGTCCACTACAATCAGTTGAAATTATCCTCATGATTAATAACATTACACAACTCTAACATATGGCCAAGTTAACAAGCTTATCACACACACTGTAAGACACCTCTCGTGTAAAATAAATACAATATATTATGTTCTCACGCACGCACGCACGCGCACGCACACACACACACACACACACACACACACACACACACACACACACACACACACGCACACACACGCACACACACACACACACACACAGTCAGCTCTTATCTTATATAAACTGAACAGTATACAAAATATTCCATTATCATCTATTTATAGCCCTTTCACTGTGTACAGGAGGTAAATTAAAACAGAGCCTTGTTACAGATACCCACTGAAAATATTTGACACTAATGATGCTCACCGGGCAATCTTAAAAATGTGACTTTTTTAGCTGTATCTGTCACTTCCTGTATACTGACTAACTCCATCACTGATAAAAAAAAAAAATCCAGTGTTATGCATACCAGCCCACACTGACGGAGCTTGTGGCTAATTCATGGTAATCTTATTTTGTTATCCAATCAACTGTGTAGTTTGTTACATGTTATCCATTAATTCTTCATCAGCTCACACCATTATCACGTACATTATCCAATCTACTCTCTGCTGTTCTTGTTTCCTCCAATATCATAGTTTTATTTTTCAGTTAATGGTGTTGAAACTTACCCCTTTATCACCCATGTTGTCCACCCTCCTCAGCTGGTCTCGCACTGTGGAGGCTTGAGACTTAAGAGACACCAGGTTTGGAGGGTTGGACTCCTTCAGGGTCTCGGGTCCACTGTCGTTTAACACAACGATGTCATGGAGGCTGATGTACCACTTCACTTCAAATGTAAACTTCTCTGATCTACCAGTTGGCTGTAAGAAAAAAAGAAAAAGGTGTTACTTTTCAAATTTGTTAAGCACATTAGGTTTCAATGCTGCATATTTTTTTTTCAATATTTCAGTGAATAGTATTGCTGTTATTCTTCCATAATTTTTATGTGCCCCCCCCCCCCACCACCTTTCTCTGCAGGAAGAGTGGAAAAGTAAGGTAGAGGTGCCTTCCAAGACACTGAAATGCTCCCTATAAACACACACACACAAACTCATACTCTAAACATATATATGCAGTATCCATTGAATTTACAGGTTCTTTGGCAATGTTGTAAAATGCCTCTATTCAATAATGGTGAAAGTTATTAAACACTTCACACAGTATGTACACTTCAGGTAGTACCAGGGCCGAGTTGAGGTGGATTGAACTGGTACGCCTTACTGGTTGTAAACTTTCTATTAAATCATTCCTGTTAAAATATTCAAGGGAACACATTCCAATTGATATTATATACTTCACCAAATTTCAAGCCTTTACATAAGTACAGTATGTTCAATGATAATGTATTACAGTGGCTGTCATCACAAGGCAGATGGGAAGTGAGGGGTCTTTAGTAGTAGCCATGACATAAACAGAAATACTGAACTAACAATTTTAACTGTTTCAACACGTGAACCAGGTAATGGCTATAGCTATACCCTTGGAAATATTGACACTGTACATTAATGTTGATTAAAAAATTCAAGCAAAACCTGTAATAAAGCATCAGAAATATTACATTACAGATACAGCATTAGAAAATATAAAAACAATTATGCCAGCAATGTATGGAAGACGTTGCACTGTACGATAACTTGGCTGAGGCCGTGAGAGCCATATGTTGTAGACCTTGACTTGGGTGCAAAGGTTGTACAATTTAGAGAAAGACTTGTGGGAAACAACAATATTCCAGCATTCAACAACATGCTGTTTTTGTTGTGAAACTGTTGTTCACAATTTAGATATCAAATGATTCAAATCTGAACATTCCACTTGTTAACTTTTTACAACTCAAGCCCTGGGTAGTACAGTACAGGTACCAACATCATCATCTTCCAAAGAAATTCAGATTTTTTCTCCATATATCCAGTGTGGCTCTTTGAAAAATGACACCTGTATGTAGTTGTCTTCAAACATTATGTCAAAGAACTAGCTAAGTATTGCCCAACACAATTACTGTACTAAAGAACACACTTACTTTGTACTTGGCACACACAATAACATCGTTGAACAGGAAGAGATGTCTCAGTTTGCGGTGACCTTCTACCAGCTCCACTATGAATGAGTTGCGAACCAGATGTCGCTGAGGACGATCCTGAGCCTGAAAATGTTTACAGTTACTTCTTATGTAATGTAAATGCTTTATGATAACAGCTGTGAGAACATTGTGCAAATCATTTAGATATTTTCTTTAAGGCAGATCATAGTTTGTCCAGACATTTCTAATATATTACAGGTATTTGTAAGTAGGAGAATACAGTATAGAGAATATTAATACACTCACTACAAACTAATTATCAGACTTATAATCTAGATTTATACTAACACTTATCACTTATTACACTTACAAGTTATAAAGCTTATTATCAAACTAACTGGTAAAAGTAAACTAGTTTCTTACAGTGTTGACTGAAGATGAACTGAAGATGAACATAAAACTTTGTAATGTTAAAACTATATAAGCTTTTCCAATACAGTAGTCTTGTATGTTTTTCAGTATTCAATTTATATACAGTGCAACCTATTAAATGAAATGTACAGAGGCCAATACTTACAGGAAACATGGTTTCAGTGTGTACCATGGAGAGGTGTGTGAGGAAGTTCTGTGTGAGTCTGAGAGCTTCGCGTAGTGTTTCATGATCTGAGTGGTGCTCAGGAGTGTACTTGAGCAAGTCCTGAAATGGTTGCATAACATAAATTTTACAAATTTTTACATGTTTTCATTTTGATAAGAAAGAATATACAGCACAATACTGTATACTAAAGAAAACTTGTAGATGTAGGAAGGTAAGATCTCTTCTCATGGTAAAATTAACAACAATAGACCGAGGCATTATGATGATATATGTAATATAAAGTTACCTGCTATTATCAACATCTTAAAGTAATCAGTTACTCTGTATAATTAAAAATCATTCAGTAAAACAAATTTAAATACAGTGTGTATACTATACAAGCATTACAATATGAAAGTATCATTCTGTATTTCATGTCACTTAATCAATTTAATAACTTTTCCACCATATCTGCCAGGCTGACAATTTAAGAGAGGCCTTAGTTTGTACAGTGTATAAATAAAAATTCATTCATGCTACAGCTATTTCCTAAACTCAGAGAAAATACTTACACTCCATAGTACAGTACTGATTACACTAAATATCATTAAAGAAATGCCATCTACACATGATAAGGTAAACATATATTTGTAAAGGAATAAAACTCACATGTAAGACTAGAGCATTTTTCTGCACCCTGGCCACAGGTCGGTGCAGGAGGTCCTCCAGGGACTGTGCCTGGCTCTGGAGGGAGCGTAGTTTGATGGACCGGGTTATGTCAGCAAACTGTGGGCTCTGTGTGCTGCACCGCTTTACTGTCTCTACAGCACGAGGGTAATTTTGCAGAAATGTGGCATAGACATCCAGTTTACTTGCCTGTATGAAAGATATGAATAAATAAATTTGTTAAGTCTACAGACCCAGATGGACTATGTATATTAACACTTATAACTGCCAAGATAGTTTAATTCAGGACAGCAGAGTATCCTGTGTATAATGTACAAATTACATCCATTATTGCCTTCAGTGATTGTGATGACAACCCATAGTTACAAGTATGAATGCTTTGATTAAAGATTTACAAACATCTTAATTAGAAACGTTTAATCTATCAAACTTAAAATGTTACATTGATGGCAAAATAGAACTGACACAATTTGCATTTAGAAACAGTTAAATGAACTACAACAACCTAAATAAATTTGGATTTTCATTACAGCATTTACTCAAATAATTTTAATTTGACTCTAAATGATTGTTGTACTGTAATTCTAAGAGCCTTTTGTAACAGTAACATGATACCTAAGGAAATGAAACACCCCATCAAGATATTGCTCCTTTACACTGCTCAAACTAAAGTACAATAACTGTTGACATTCATGAGATTAGTATCTTCTTATTTGCACATAAAGTATAAAATGACATAAGATACAGGCACAAACTGAACCAGACATATTTGGTAAAAGACAGAAGATAACATGAAGGAAATGAACAGTATGTGAGATAAAACCTGTGATTAGTCTTACCAGAACTCTAAAAAGTTCTCCAATCGTGTTGGTGCCGTCCCACTGACTCGTGTTCTCCTTAAGTCCGTTCAGAAACTCACTATGGGTGGCGTGTAATTCTGTTATTCGGTAAAACACCGTCGAGAAGTCATCTGGTGAGATCACAGGCTGAGATGTTGTCAGTGTTGCCTTCAGTGCTTTCATATACTGTTGAAGAAAGTTAATACAGTATACTGTATTGATAAAAGATTAAGCACGAAGTAAGCATGAATTTATATACTGATTGTATTTTCTTAAAACGAAAATTTGAGACTACTGTACCTGCAATCAATGAATATAATACACAGGTAAAGTAGTGTAATTAATGACCCTTGAAATAATAAAAAATATAATACTTAAAACGACAATTATGCCATGTCCGATTATAAATCGTCTTTATATACATTTTCTCAATATTATAGACTCATTTTGCCAAATAACACAATCTTTTTCATGCTGATTAAACAAAGCAAAAAATATTTCACAAAAAATGTGATAAATACTGTATGAACTTTGAGTTGTAGTGAGCTTTAACCATGAGGACGCTTAATTAACCTCTTAAGTGACAACACTCACCTGGAGGACAACATCCAGACACTCGAGGTAGATGGTTTCCGACTCGACGATGGATGAGATAATACAACGGTACATAGTGAGCCTCTCAGCCTCTGCCACGGGGTCTGGTGTGGGCGGGGCAGGGGTGTCCGGCAGTTCTCCTGAGGACGCCCATCTCGTGGCGGTGGGCGGGGTGGGTGGAGCCGACGGCATGTGACTCGTAGACTCCACGCTGCTTCCATACACCCCTGCAAGACCAACACAGCTGTGTAAACTTGTTTATTAACTATACTAATACACCTTGATGATGTAATTTGGTAATATTAGTGCATAGTTTATTTTATATCATAACAGTTTAATCCTTATAGTTGTGCGGTGTTATAACGTTTAAAGGCACACTCAGCACACACACCACTGACTGACTCACGAGGAATGCTTATGTTATAAAGACAAACAATGAAGGTACATTTCCGTCGTCTTCGTGATGGTAAACTTATCAGCTATCTTGGCTTACGAATAATGTCCACGTTCGCCTGCATGAATTGAGTAAAAACTATGAAAATCACATAAAAACAAAGAGAACAACTGGGAAATATAATATAGAACTCCATGGCTAATTGAATGCACATTAAAGTTGGTCTCAGGCATGATGGCTCGTTAGAGACAAACGAGTGGCTAAAACGGAAGAATGGAAGGAAGGACTGACAGATAGATAAATAAATGGGAAGACAGATGAACAGATAGGTAGATGGATATATCATGTTGACAAGTGAACAGACGGATGGGTGAAAAGGTGTAAATTAATACGTCACACTGGATATAAAAATTAATGGAGGTTTAAGACACAGGCAAAGAGCAACTCACATTACAGCGAATAACTTCACCCACCCGAGGTACAGTATTATCCGTCTCCCAAGAAACATAGCAACATTCTCATCTTAATCACCATGGTAACAATATAACGTCATCATCACACCATATACCAGGAAGGCGGGGCGGGTCCCTCACTCTGCTTGATGAAGGCAATAGGATGCTTGGTCCGTGGGAGACGCCTATACATCCTCCCCATCCTACTACCCTCACCACTGTCCCTACCACCACCCCTGCCACTTCCCCCAACACCACCCCTGCCACTACCACCATTACCCATACCACAACCAGCCAGATCCACTACCACCCACCTGCCACTACCAGCCAGACATCCAACCACCATCACCACTACAACTATCACTATGAATCATCCAACCACCATCACCACTACAACTATCACTATGAATCATCCTACCACCATCACCACTACAACTATCACCATAAGTCCTCCTACCACCATCACACATTTTTTTTAGGCCACTTACAGCGGCTAGTTTACTGTGCACCCCATACTCCTGTAAGCGGTAGAGCAACCCGCACATGTCGTGTGTGTGTGTACATCAAAGCCAGGCGATGGACTAACTGGCTTGTGATAAGTCTACTCATTAACCACCTGACTGTTCCTGTTCACTATCACGGATGCAATGGTGTACACACACACACACACACACACACGTCTCCTTCACACACCTCAAATACACACAGAAACTCTCTCTCTGTCTCTCTCTCTCTCTCCACACCCCAAGAGGAAATAGCTTAAAGGTCAACTACAGGTCTAGTGGCCAAGAAACAGTCCAAATACGCTGAAGTCTGAGAGTGCAGGTCGTCGGGGCACTTGGCACCCACTACTGCCTGGCCCTGGTTGGCACTCCCTGGTCCTCCTCCCATATGTACTACACGTCCCATTTTTATGTACTCACGTCTACATACATATATACGATGTTTTCCCACATATCACCTGTCAGTTACCTGAACCTTGCCTAGCCTTAACCTAATCGAACTTAGTCAAATATTAGCCTAACCTAACCTAAACAGAGCAAAATCAACTGTTTAAACTATAGTTGTTAATTATTGACAACAACAAATATATTTAAGTATTTTAAGAATCTTTTATTGTCCGCCAACTTCTGACGTCAAGAAAAACGGGAAAAAATTCAATTTCAAGAGTTTAGGAAAAAAATTAATATATTTTCGGTCGTGTTGAACTGTGACCAAAAAAACCAAACGAACAAAACAGACTTTAAAAACCTTAATTAACCACAAGACCAACAAAACCTGACCTAACCATACCTAACCTAACCTAACCACAAGACCAACAAAACCTGACCTAACCATACCTAACCTAACCTAACCACAAGACCAACAAAACCTGACCTAACCATACCTAACCTAACCTAACCACAAGACCAACAAAACCTGACCTATACCTAACCTAACCCAACCTAAACCCAACCCCTAGCACTAACCCCATAACCTAACCATACCCCAACCTAACCTAACCCAACCTAACACAACCTAGCACAACCCCTGTACAACACCTAATAACCTAACCCCTAAGCAACCCCTAACACAACCTGACCTAACCATACCTAACCGCCTACCTAACCTAACCTAACCCAACTTCTAACACAACACAACACAACTAACTGCCATACCCTAACCTAGCTTCTTAACCTAACAACCTAACACAAACCTAACCTAACCATACCTAGCCTAACCCCTAGCAACCTAACACAACCTGACCCACAACCATGCCTAACCTAGCCTGGCAACCCTAGCACAACTGACTGCAACCTAACCTAACCTAGCACAAGCAACCCCAGCACAGCCTAGCACAACCTGTACAACCTAGCCTGTGCCTAGCCCCTGTACAACCATACCTAACCTAACCTAACCCAACCTAACACAACCTGACTTAACTTAGCCTAACCTATCTCTTAACTTTCTGCCATTTAAAAGTTTTGTATTAAATATTTCATAACTTCATTGTGGAAACTAAATGATACGTGTTGAATGTTAGGTTGGGTTAGGTTAATGTTAGGTTGGGTTAGGTTAATGTTAGGTTGGGTTAGGTTAATGTTAGGTTGGGTTAGGTTAATGTTAGGTTGGGTTAGGTTAATGTTAGGTTGGGTTAGGTTAATGTTAGGTTGGGTTAGGTTAATGTTAGGTTGGGTTAGGTTAATGTTAGGTTGGGTTAGGTTAATGTTAGGTTAGGTATTAGGGTGTTTATTCATCAGGTAAAATAAACTGGGATGCCTAATCTACAGGTAAAATAAATGGGCGTGCCTAAAATCTTACGGTGATCCGAAATACAAGTTTATTTACCTATTTCCACAACGAAAAGATAAAAAAAAAACGATTAAAAAACATTAAATCACACAAAAATAAGAAAATGGTCACCAAAGAAATGTAAATATTGAGGTGGTAACTGAGTCTCTTCCTAGGATTTAGTCCTTTTTTATTTTCGCACTTCAGGACGACTCGTTGTGTTGGGTGTCTGACGGCGGAGGTTCTTAGCGGGTTTCATTGCCCGGGTGGATGATGGAGGGTAAGACTAGGCAGGAGGAGATGATTGGTCGTTCTGGTGATGGTTTTATGGGTGCTGCCTGCCTCCTGGTGTGGGGGGGGGCTCTGCCTCCTGGTGTGGGGGGTGCTCTGCCTCCTGGTGTGGAGGGGTGCTCTGCTTCCTGGTGTGGGGGGTGCTCTGCCTCCTGGTGTGGGGGGTGCTCTGCCCTGGTGTGGGGTGCTCTGCCTCCTGGTGTGTGCTCCTGCCTCCTGGTGTGGGGGTGCTCTGCTTCCTGGTGTGGGGGGGTGCTCTCTGCTCTGCCTCCTGGTGTGGGGTGCTCTGGGGGGGGGTGCTCCTGCTCTGCCTCCTGGGTGGTGCTGGGTCCTGCCTGCTCTGCCTCCTGGTGTGGGGGGGTGCCTGCCTCCTGGTGTGGGGGTGCTCTGCCTCTCCCTGTGTGTGGGGGGTGCTCTGCCTCCTCCTGGCCTCCTGGTGTGGGGGTGCTCTGCTTCCTGGTGTGGGGGTGCTCTGCTTCCTGGTGTGGGGGGTGCTCTGCCTCCTGGTGTGGGGGTGCTCTGCCTCCGTGTGGGGGGGGTGCTCTGCCTCCTGGTGTGTGGGGGTGCTCTGCCTCCTGCTCTGGTGTGGGGGGTGCTCTGCCTGGTGTGGGGGGGTGCCTCTCCTGGTGTGTGCCTGTGGTGTGGGGGTGCTCTGCTTCCTGGTGTGGGGGTGCTCTGCCTCCTGGTGTGGGGGGGTGCTCTGCTTCTGGTGTGGGGGGTTCCCTGGTGTGGGGGGTGCTCTGCCTCCTGTGTGGGGGTGCTCTGCCTCCTGTGGTGTGGGGTCTGCCTCCTGGTGTGGGGGGTGCCTCCTGGTGTGTGGGGTGCTCTGCCTCCTGGTGTGGGGGGGTGCCTGCCTGGTGTGTGGGGGGTGCCTGTATACTGTGTTCAGGAGGGAGGAAAGAGGAGGTGAAAGAAAAGGGGAGGAATGGGAGAGGAAGCAGGGAAGAAGAGGAGAGGGAGGAGCAGAGGAGGAGAAAAGAATAGGAAGAAAGGAGAGGGAGAAGTAGGACATAACAGCGCACACAGTTGTTGGTAATGGTGATGGTGGTGGATGGTGGTGGTGGTGGTGGTGGTGGTGGTGATGGTGATGGTGGTGGTGGTGGTGGTGGTGGTGGTGGTGATGGTGGTGGTGGGTGATGGTGATGGTGGTGGTGGTGAGGTGGGTGGTGGTGGTGGTGGTGGTGGTGATGGTGGTGATGGTGGTGGTGATGGTGGTGGTGGTGGTGGTGGTGGTGGTGATGGTGATGGTGGTGGTGGTGGTGGTGGTGTGGTGATGGTGGTGGTGGTGGGTGGTGATGGTGGTGATGGTGGTGATGGTGATGGTGGTGGTGGTGATGGTGATGGTGATGGTGGTGGTGGTGGTGGTGATGGTGGTGATGGTGGTGGTGATGGTGGTGGTGGTGGTGGTGATGGTGGTGGTGATGGTGGTGATGGTGGTGGTGGTGGTGATGGTGGTGGTGATGGTGATGGTGGTGATGGTGGTGGTGGTGGTGGTGGTGTACATGATTCAGTATTCATGCTTGGTGAAGAAGTGCAGCTGTCACCTACATTACGCTGACACAGACTCGGCCAGGAATCTCTCTCTCTCTCTCTCTGGTATAAACAACTCTGCCATCTTCTATCATTTATTGTGACGAGGAAGAGGAGGTGGAAGAGGAAGATGAAGAGGAGGAGGAGGAGGAAAAGAGAACGAGGAGGAAGAAGAGAGTAAACTAGACCGTTGTTTGAGAGAGGTGCCAGCTAGGTAATGCATTTTTTCAAAGTTGCTGGGATGTTCACCTGTCACCATTTGACCGTTCAAAACACTGTAGTATATCTCA